GGTGCTTATTCTCAGTTGCCGGAGCTGCCGATTATATCAGATCTCTTTGAAGATTGGGGGATTGTTAGACAGTCTCGCTTATTTAAGAAGTGGTAGATTATAGGGTTAGGGAACCCTTATGAACCAGTTAACTGGGGAATTAGCGAAGCTTAGACTAGAAGGATTGTGTGCCGTTGTTCCATGCTTGCTGGCATAGCGACGGTTGATTGCCGTCCTGGTCTGGGACTTGCTTTCCTCGTTGAGGTTTACTGGGTGCAGGTTTCCGTTAGAATCTGGTGAGGACTATTATGATCGCCTTCTAAATCAACTTACCTGTGTTATTTCATAATAGCTTGAAGTGGGTGAGGGTTATTTAAGTTACCTTAAACCTTGTTGCAGTTTGCGAATTGCGTTGCTTTGTAAGGCAGTATAGATTATTGTTGTACTAGTCTACACCGTTGTGTTGTGCTGTACAGTTACGAAGATTGTATTTGCTTGTGTGGTTAAAGACTTATCAATTATAAGCCATCGGTAAATTATTTTTTCAGACTTGAGGGTTACCCTGATCACTGTGAGGGTTACCTGGTTATTGTGAGGTTTACCCTGATCACCGTGAGGGTTATTCTGGTGTTAGGTTAAGGATAAGGCTGATTAATCACGTTCGTGGTGCACTTGACCACGTAGGACTACTTCCCCGTGAGGATAATTTTGTATATAGTTAATTGCTGTTGTATATAAAGGATAACTAAGCACTGACATTGAATAAACCAATCATATAATCGTCTTGGAAATCACTTGTCACCGTGAGATTTAGTTCAGTCCTGTATCACTTATTGACATTTATTGTAATCTTTATTGGCATTGGGATCAATTACCTAATCACAGTGCGGTGGTAAACGTCCACCAAACGAACCACCTAAGGCATAGCCCACCGTTCGTTAACTGATATCCCCCTTGCGTTTGGATGGCCGCTCATTCTTGCGTAAGGTTAAATAAATATATTTGTGGGGTTAGGCCAGGTCGATTCTATCTCCGATCAGGCCAGTCTGCTGGTCCGCCACAAAAAAGGTGTCAGTTGTCCCACCACAGTACTCTTACCTTAAGGAATTTTTACATATTGTAAATAATAAATAATTAGTCCTAGTATATGTGTTTTCTATGTTGTCATGTGAAACGTTAAATCAACCGTTAGAGAGGTCAATAAAAATATGTAGCTTTTGTTAAAGATCCATTAATCTCTCAAAATTCTTTCAAAACAATGAAGACTTAAAATTTCTCCAGAAAGTGCATTTCATTTCGCCTTTAGTAGAACATACAGATATTAAATCTTTCAACTTATATGTAAATATCTGTAATCCTTTCAGTGATTTACCAGTTTATGATTACCGACATGTAGCAAATATTTAACCGTGTCAGACTATGTAGCACCGGAGTATACTACGTGTACAATAAGTATGTACTTGCCTGTAAAATAAACATACATGGTGGCTTTAAAAAGGGACCTGGGATTAATAAATCTGCTTTTTGAAAATGCTTAATTATCTTTGTGAATGGTAAATAAAATCTGTACCAGTATGCCGTCTTCTTTTGTACCACACAAAGAAATCCACAGTTCCGTCACACTGTGAATGAGAAAAAAGTGGTTAAATTGACCTATTCAGAAGTGCCTTACATGGGATGCACAGCGGGAAGCGATTACACTACCAAAATATTTGATTAAAAGACAACCACGATTAGAGGCTTATTTGTGAAACAGTCCAGCCTCAATTTTCTTCAATATGTCGCCCATTTCTTTCAACGCAAACTTCTGCCATTGGTCTCATCAATTTTAAAATGAGTATTACGCATTTTTGATATTTTCAGCAAACGCCACGAGTGTGACAATGGATCCCTTGAAAATATGAATTCAACACCAAAACAGCTGTTTGGCGTTTGGCGCAAAGCTATTTCCTACTGGGTCCATTAAACAACTTCGTGCTCCTTTCTCTGTGACAGAAATTTGGCTTTCTCGACGTCATGCGAAAGACATCGTGGTTACCATGGTTACCATTCACCAAAATAATATGCCACATTAAAGAACCATCGGTTTCCTATTTTTAAAGACACTCCGTTGACAGTCATTGCTTATGACAAACCGTTTCAGTCTATTTGAAGTTTATGTATTTAAGTCTGTGTATAAGATATTATCAAAAATGAAACGAT